GCCTGCAACTCAGTTATGTTGTAGCTTAGTTCCTCTCGGATCATTCTATTATCTAATGAACTGATCTCACTGATGCTAGGTTGCGGGAGGGACGGGAAGTCAGAGAGTGTTTTACCAAACCGCTGTAATATTTTATCAAGCTCCAGGAGGCAGTATGTTTGTATTTGTGTTGGTGTAAGGTGCAGGTCTGGATGGCGGTACATTTTTCTTCTTCTGTGCAAGATATCATCTTGAAGAATGTTTTTGGTGTTCTCCCAGAACTGGGTGGGGTCTGTCACCTCGTAGAAAAGAAGGATTGTAACAAAAAGCTCTCGCGCTTGATTTGCCGTGGCCCATTCATTTGCTTCTTGGATAGCTTCTATCCATTCTTTGTCGTCACTTAGCAATCCAAGTGCGTAACACGCTGCTTTGAAAGTTGGGTGGAGAACATTGTTTATGGTGCGTATGTCTTCATATGATGTTGGTCCTCGGGTGGAGTTAAGAAGTAATCGTAAGTAATAACGTTCGCCCGCTGTTGGGTGGACATATGCTATTCTTCCAAGGCAGTTACCTTGTTTTCTCTTTGTCCATTGTTTTACATACTTCAATTGTTGATGTTCTCCACTCCAGACCCTGACTCTTTGGTTCCACACAAACTTACTTGGGAATTCCACGTAAGTTAGAGCTCGTGCTTCAGCATCATGGCTATTTCTTTCTAGCCACTGTGTGAACATTGTTTGTTGTGCGGTGTCATCATTCACAACCTCAGCTATGTTCTGAGTATCTTTTAGTGTTAATAGTTGTTCTCCTGGTAAATGCACGTGAAGACATATGACAGCTATACTTCGCATGTGAATATCATATTGGAATATCCTCCATGTGGCCTCGCACGCTGATAGGTATCGGCAATCTTGGTACTGCTCTATTTCATCATTCTCATTTTTTTTCTTTTGTTGGCTTCCTTTGATTACCATGGTTGCTCTATCTGGGCCTTTATTTAAGTACTTAAATAGATACTTAATTGCCTTGGACTTGTTACACCATTCAACATTTATATGAGCTTCGAATAGGAGAAGTAGTTTCGTATTGTATGGCACCACAGACCTGTTGTCTAGTTCGACTGCTCCCTTTTTCACTTTCCTGTAAAAAGTTGAAAATATGTTAGTGTAAAAGTTGTTTTGGTTGTTTGCTGTTAGTGGGTTGATTCTAGGTGAGTGTGTTTTTTTTGTTGTTTTATCCATGTTTTTATTATGGTTATTTAATAATTTTTGGTTTTTTTGTTTTTTTGTAATGGTGTAATAATTGGGTTATAGGAGTTTCCTAATTAACATATTGGTCGTATGTGTAATGCAGTGAATAGTGAATATTATTGTTGTTTTTCAAGTTTTTTTAGTTTTTGTTTTGAAAACAGGTGTTTGTTAAATACTAATTTAAAATCTGGAGCGTCATTTTAGGTTGGACAGTAGTAGTAATCCGTGGTTTTTAGTTTTGTGTGTTTGATTTTTGTTGTTTGGTTATTGTATTGTAGTGTTTAGGTGAAGACAATGGTCATATTATTCTATTATGTGTTTAGTCTATGATGAGGAGATTACCTGCCATTGTTTCTTCGTTGGTATACTGCGAATCCTGTCTCATCAATGGTGGTTTGGTCGTAAAATTCTTTTGGATATTTCTTGGAGCAGACATTGTCTACCATGCATGGAGAGTCCCTTCTATGTTCGCCACATGGACCATGAACCATAAACTTTGATACCAGATCATATTCTCTTGAGTTTTCATCTTCAGGAATCTCTGCGCTGATTATGCTGTTTATGAAGTATGGATCAGTGTGTGAATCTGATTTGACCAACCATACCAAGATGTGAGCATGTGGGAGGCCGCGTTTTTGGAACTCTATGGTGCCAATATCTAAAAAATTTTGGTCAGTATATGTTTTTTTTAATATGTATTTTTTTGAAGTGAGGTGGGATTGTATTTTATGAGTGTACCTGCTTGTGTTGGGCCAAAGTGCAGATCTTTTGTTAGTACTCGCATGAGTTGTTTCAGCTTCATGTTGAATACACGTGAAACAATATCTGCACGGTCTTCTGGACGTTGGCCTGGTATTGCTGATAGCATGTCTGCTATTTCCGGCCACTTTGAGTTTGCTGTGAACGTAATGAACAAATCTGGGTTACCAAATTTCCTGCATATTGCCATTGCATCCTGATAATTTTGAAACATGTATCGTGGTCCTCCGGTGAATGATGATGGCAATATTGTTCGTTTCCCCACAGATGCCCCTGTTGTGTCCCCTTTGTTGATGGCATCACACACATTTCGGTAGATTTCAGTGCAAAATATGTTTTGTTTCTTTCGTAAAAATCGAAGTCTTTCCTCCTCTATGGCAGTGTAGGAGTCTACCAAATATTGTTGGAAAAGTCTTCCTCCCTGGAGATGTGTTGTACCTTCAGTGAGTCTTTGTTGAATGCGATAAGCATAGTATTCTCTCATGGTGACGTACGCCCGGGAGACTTGCATACGTGGAGAATCAGTGTATAGGATTTTTTTCATGGTGCCCGTCTTCTCCATGTGGGAAAAGTAGGGGATACTGCAATGCCATCAAAGATGGGTGTCTTTCATTAATCTCTTGAAGGCCTTTTGTTTTATGTTCTACAACTATATTTCTTCCATCTGGTGCTTGGCCAAAATCCCCTACTATTAGTGCCGCTACTTCTGATGCTGTGGGTGCATTATACTGCCTCTATTTTGGTGTGCGCTCTGATAAGAGGTGCAGTTGGAACTGTACATCTTCACTTACTTTCATTCTATCTCGTGCCATTCTGAATGTTTTTGCCAAACAATTCTCCCTGTCAAGCATTGTTATTAGGTCTGAGAGAATGCTCTCATCTAGCTTGGAGTTTGGTTTGTCCTTTGTAAGTGACTTTATCCTTGAACACACTTCCTCTGTTTTGTTATCATACATATATAGTTGGAGGAACTTCCGGGGTTTCCCTGGTTGGGGATTTAGTGAACCAATTTGATGGCAGTTTTGTCCGCTGATTCTAAAGACATATGGTCCTTTGGTTTTATTGATTTCGTAATCGATTTGTGCCCCTATTGATGTGAAGGCAAGAATTGAGTTATATGCCCGTATGTTTTCACGAAAGGTAGCTGAACGTTTCCCTCCATTGTGGCTTAGTAGGTCTCTTAGATACTGAGGTGCACTTTTCAATGCGGAGAGGGAAACCCGGCCTTCCATGCAACACAAAGAGAAAGTGGGTGGTGAGTTCTTTGCCTTGCTGTTATTGCGTTCATCTGTCCACATTATAGCATGGCAGTATTGGCAGTTTTCATGAGGAAAGCCCAAATAGAGATAGTCCAATTTTTGGCCTGCAATTATTTGGTGCATAAATATAGTGTTAGTATTGGATGGATTAGATAGTGCTCATAATAAAAGAGGTGTATGGTAGGATGGTGTAAAGTATTGTGTACAATGGGTTTTTGCTTGCATAATATTAAGGCGCCATGAGACATGTAGCGAGTAAACTAACACGCTAAGAGTATGTTTGACCATGTAAATTTTATAAGAGAACAAAATGATATGGGTTTCTTTCCTTTCGTTTGCCAAAATGGCAGGGATTTGGTCTCATGGTATTTTATTTTGTTTTCTAATTACTTAAAGTAAACATAGATTAAGTAATCTAGGGAAAAAAGAGATAGAGTTTGGGTGCAAAAAGAAAAGGAAATTGGTTTCTTTCATTTCCCTCATCAAAATGGGGGGGATTCAGTTTGATGTTATTTTATTTCTTTTTCAAATTCCTTAAAGTAAACATAGCGTAAGCGATCCTGGGAAAAAAGAGATAGAGTGAGAGACAGAATAGATTGAAATAGGGAATCATTAATAAGTGGAAAACTTAACCCTCATTGATGAATTAATTAGAATAGATAACAAATGAATCATTCATCTACATTTTTATGTTCATGTAATTTATAGTATACTCATGTATTAAGAGAACTAAAAGTTCTACATTCAAATAATTTGTCCTAAATTAAATCATCAGGGCCTCATTTATTGAAAAGGGACCATAAATTGTGATTGGATGGTTGGGAAACAAACATTTTGATGATGGGTTATTATGAAATACCTATGATATATTTTAGGACCTGCCAAGTCTCGTAGTTCAGCAAGTGATAAACTGATGCATTTTTTTCTGATTTCTAATTAAGAAAGAATGTAAATATTTTAAAAATTGTATTTGTAATGGGTTTGTAGTAATAAACTTACCTGGACTATTTGCATGCAGTGCACACTGTTGTGCTTGGGGCTGTTTTCTTCTTGGGGGGGCTATTCAAATAAGAACATTGAAATGTGTTATAGGGATAGAAGAATGTTATAGAAAGGTACAGTGTAGTATCAAATAGTAGTTACACTTTTTGTATATACCTGCCATTCTTTGTGTGGGCAGAGTTGTTTGACCACCTGTGGTCATGTGTCTCTGTTTGCTTCTCTTATTCTGAAGAATGAGTTTCCGCCTTTTTCTTGCTTGTTGGTAGATTCTTCTTGAATTTTCTGGTTCATGGCTATTGATATTCATATTCATATAGTGATTAAGTTTTTGTGTTTGATTATGAAGTAATAATATAGTATTTATAGGAGCATGTTTAGTTCTTGCATATTGTCCTTTCATATGCTCAGAGGTGGTTTTTTATGCATTTATTGTTTATTTAAGTATCATATTTATTCTGGTAATTATGTGTTGCATTAAATTATCATGAATGGAGTTTTTTTTGATAGAATGGTTATTTAAATTCCTGTGTGCAGAAATGGATGGTTATTATATTGATCGTAATTTATACTAATCACTGGTATTGTTTTTATTTACATGTGTTTTAATTGAAGTGGTAATTGCATGGGTAATAGGTTTTCTTGATTTTCGGGAGACAATGATTTCTACCCGGAGTAGGAATCGCGGTTATTGGCCTTCCATTTCCCTGGTGTTGTATCCTGGTTCTTGTGGCTGATGTGGAGATTTTATTGTTTTTTCTTGAAGAATAAGTGTTTTTGTTTTGCGGGCTTGTTCGGAAGATGTTCTCCATTGTTGAATAACTTGATTCATGTCCATGTCCACCATGTAGGGTCATGTGGGTTTTGGTGTAGTATGTAGAAGTTAGGAATGAAGATTTTTTGTGTGGTTATTGGCCTTCCGTTTCCTGGACCTGTATAGCAATGTGCATTTATTATGATTTAAAGCATAGCAATTAATATGGTTGTCACATAGTAATTTTCTTATTTAATATATTTTATTGCTAACATCATATTTTGTGAACCCTTTTGGTATGGTAACCTGAAATAATTAAATGGAAATTGAAGGCTTGTTTGGCTAATGTAAGTTGCGGGGAGTTTATGGCATTATCCGATTTTCATAGAGTATCCTGTAACCAGGTTTGAAAGACAGAGCTAAAACTTGAAGCAGACATTGGGAAACTCTTCATAGCCAGACAGATTGCATGAGGTTTAGAAGTGCATGAATGTGTTGACATAGATTTTAATAAATAAGTAAAGCAAAAAGTTTGTTGTTAAGATTAATTACTTATATGAAAGGAGTTGTCTTCCATATAAAGATGACGTTTTGGAGATGGTCATTAACTTAGCATACAAAGTTATACTATGTAAATGAAACTAAAGTTTTAGCACCAAAGTTAACTCAGTTATATCTAGAAAACAGGAGAAATGGCAAAATGATATACCTAGCACATCCCTGGAGTACGATATAAGAGTTGTAAACGATGACAGAAGGTTTTAAAAAATAACAAGTAATATATTGGGAGGGGTGTAGAAAAGCAGATAGGGAATAGTGTATCACATGAACTGTCTAAACGATGAACAAAGGGACATGGTAAACAGTTTAATTTTCAGTCATTAGATATTACCAGGCAATAAACAATAAGATATAAGGTGAAGAGTTTTCCTTCATTTTGGTTGCAAAGTTAAGGGGGTACTGATAATTGTCGTTTTAGTGAAGTTAGATAAGATATAATTGTGAATTGAAAACCTTTGAAATTTTCTGATTTCATAAATAAAAAATACCTGGTAATTGGTATGACTAAGTTGTAAGCAATGAAAATCTTTTCAGATATGTGGAAAAAGGATCATTTATTTCCTCTGTTAGAGAAGCAACACCGATCTTTAGTATGCATATGTATGAAGGTTAATGTTTATATATTAATTCAATAATGATCAAAACATATACCACACAACATGCTAAACACATGGTGTGTTAGATACGCAAATACCTGAGAAGGAGTTCGTTCCAATGGGAGTTCTAAGAGAAGAGACTTGGATTTTGTAAGAAGGCCAAGACTCTCAGCTATGTGTAATATATGCCTTCTGCTTGGGTACTGAACGACCGGATATTCCAATGACTACCTGCTTAGCGGAAAAAGATGCCAATGGTAAATAATAGACCCTATTAGGCGAAAAAACACCGATGAGCAATGACAGTAAACTATTTTTTATAGAAAATAAACCATGCAGCTGTTATACAATAATAACAGACATATTGTTATGGACTGAAGTTGCTTAAAAATCTGAGGCACCAGAATCATGTTGTTGTTTTCAAGGTTGGTGTCCTCCCCCACACCACCCCCAGTCCGGGGATGATATGTTTGTGACAATCTGACATCATCCACCATTATCATCACTACTACTTCTATTACTACTGCTTTCAGACTTTCTTGTGTTCTGTGTAAAAAATCTTTCATTTCCTTTGAGATTTATGCAAAAGAGCTAAATTTTGTGAAATATTAATGTTTTCTAAATATGAATGACCCCACAATTAGTCTCCCCGTGAACGACTCGACTCGACTTGTCGACTTAACAACCATGATGAAGACTGCTGCAGATATATGTGTACACTACAACATTGCAAAGTAGCGATAACGCGGCCGCGGGGGTGCCCTTATTGCAAATGTGTGTATTCTGATGACAACTTTCTCTCGGTTTTTATGGTCCCTTTTGTTATTGTTGGAACAGAAAAGCGCCCATCTGGTGAAGAAACAAACCTTTAAAAAAAATTAGAGTGCATTGAGTGATCAGTGATGAGCTTACAGGCTATACAGCAAGCCATCATAAACCTGACTGGTTTTAAGTGCACATTTGGGGACTTATATATGATTATTATTGCCTGCTATACACACACACACACACACCAATATCTAGAGAACACCAGGTCTGTAGTTTCTATTAATTTTGGACCATTGTGAAGTCAACTTGCTCATAGCCCTACATTTTCTAAGTCTAATACCACCATAAGCTCAGGCAGGGTGTCATGCAAAACACATTTTATAGTAGGAGTTCATGCTCTAGATCAGTAAGGTCATGGTAATCTTTCACATTGGTATTTGGAAGGTCTAAGCTGTGTTGAAATAGGCTTTTCAAGAGCATCTGAGCATGTAATCACAATTGCTTATTAAACTGAATAGAATTTGTCCTCCAACCCTTACACAGTGTATACAAATCTATTTTTATATAATTTCAGTTGCACAATTTTTTTCCTCTATGGTGCTTTAAAAGGTTGTGCCCCATGGTAATTGCTTAGACTTTAAAGTGATCAATATGATCACGGTTTGGTCAATTCTAAAAGGGCTTTCTTACTCTCATGTGCAGTTTATACTATGCCAAAGTTATACTTTGTTGCTTCACTTTTTAATCAACCAGTCTTTAACAAAGTTATACTTTGTTGCTTTACTTTTTAATCAGCTGGGCACACGGGATTCCCACCAAAGGTATTGAAATAACACCGGTTTGTCAAGGCATTTGCAATGTCTGGTGTGGTGACAACAGCTGCAAGTGGAATCTCATTCCCAATTTCGTAATGAGAACCGCAAGAAAACAAAACTCCATATGTGTTGTGGGTTTTTGGGATGCGAAGCAAAAACTTTACCTTTGCCATGGTGTTGATATCGGGCAGAACTCCATGGGCCTCAAACCCCCAAAAATGGCTCTATGTCCTACCAAAGCCTGACTGGACCTCATTGGCTATACATAGACCTCCAGCATTTCAAATAGTACTATACCCAGCTGGCAAGTAGGCTGGACCAGTTCCATGATTCTCCAAACACCCTGTCAAGAACATGTTTTAACCATTAGTAGAGCTCCTAGGTCATATGATATGTTGGGATATAAAACTACTCTCATACCGGATGGGGAAAAGAAGTTCAAATCCAATAGTATTATTCTTTAGGAAGCTGGCTAAAAATAAATCCGTGAAGGTTTGGCCTAAACCGTGTAAAACATCATACTAATCTGAAGTCAGAGGAAACGGCACATCATTCAGCTAAGCAATAAAACCAGCATTGATACCTGCATGGTTTCAGCAATAAAACCAGCAACACGGCTGGTTGTCCCATAGGTGAGAACATCATCAAAGTCCCTAACATATTTTTTCCCATCAGAGTCAAACACGGCCCTATACTGATCAGTATTGAATGTATGGTGCACTACTGTCTGTCGAATCCAGTAAAGAGAACACACAATCACCAGTCAAGTGAAAGAAGTTCAGATTGCAAAGAAACTAACTTGTAAGTGATTTGTTCTTTTTCTGCCACTATATGAAAATATTAGTAACATCCATATGCACCTGCACTATATTCAATTTGTAGGTAGAGTGTGCAGTAGAAGCCATCGTAGCAGATGCAAATAGAAGCCATATTTCAGCTAAAAATCTTGATGGGTTGGCATGGGTTTATACTTTATATCATACAAATTGTTGTTAGTGTATCTGAACAAATTTGCACAAATTAAAGTTTTAGTTATCCAAACAGAATCACACAAAACCAATATTTATTTTTTCCATGATGCATCTTACCATAAAACAAAACATTAAAAATGGCAAATTAAGGTAAGAGGCCTAGTGTGAAATATATTTGTCTTCTTTACGACAATAGAAAGCTTAATAATTTAAATCACTGGCAAACAATAAATTGATGGAAAGTGGGTGCTGTCTCTATGTCATATAAGTGTACATGCATTCATAAAGTGTATTTGGGAATAACTCATGTTTAAAAAAAACTGTTCTTTTAATGAGTCGTGAATTTGCAACCGATTTGAATAAAAATAAAAATTAGATAATTGAGAATGTTTTAATTCACACCTTCACTGCCGCGTTTAGTCGTGGGCAAGTGAAGGAGTGGGGTGTTCTCAACATCAGCTCATCCTTGGAATTTGGAGGCCTGCATGCATGACCATAGAAGGTTAGAGACCCTGGGGAGTTTAATAATGGTAACCTCGATGAAAATGAACATGGTCAAGATACTGATTTCTGTTATATTTCAATGAAAATGAACAGTTTTAGAAAAGGAGGCAGATTCAGCTTAATATGAATGAAATCTATAAAATATATGTGAGTTTGGGAATTGGGAGGCGACAATCACGGAAATAAGATTTAGCCACGATCACACGCCAAACTTGATAATTGGTTTCAGTAAACTAACCATGATTGGGATCTTTGACGCGAGCAGAGACGGCAAACCAGACTCTCCTCACTGGAAACGCCAGCTTCCGCCGCCTATCACCTTGGACCGGGACTTCGTCCTTTTGTGAAAAAACAATAGCCTTATCCCGGCCAGAATTCCTCTTATGTATCTCCGGCTCAACACTCCTCAATTGATTATCCGACCTGACCCACCGCCAATAGTAAAATCCGAATTCCCAATGCAAAAAGTATTTAGATCCACGGACAGTGCCGCCGTACGGATTAGTGAAGGCGCTCTCTTCCTCGGGTCTCTTTCTCTTCTTATTTGGTACCGCTTGAGCAATCAAAAGAAAATAACCAAAAAACTGCCAACCATTAGCCAAACAAACCAAAAAACATCCTTACCAATATTCAAACTTTTTAAACTCAAATTAAGTTCCAACCAAAGAAAGCCTCTCAAAAATTTGAGTACAGATTTTACCACCAAATACACTTCTTTCTACAGCTTCAACTTCATCCAATGAAGAAACATAGAAAATGATTTGTGTACAGCATTGAATTTTCATCCTCATGACCTGCCAAAATTACCCATTACCTAAGGCTTTTAACTTGAAAGAGAAAAATAAAATCAAACTACAAAGTGCAGTAAACCAAGAAGTTGCAAGAAGTAGACCTATACAGCCTCGCCATTAGGAAGGCCAGGTCATTGGCCTTTGTCCCTGATTTGGTAAAGAAATCAACCTTTATAACAACAAAATGTTAGAGAAGCTGGAAATATACAACGAAAGTTCAATGTTGAGATATGATATCGCACTTTAAAATTATTGGTCTAGTATGAAATTGGCTTAATTGGGTATCAGAATGTTATAAAGAAGTGAGAATAAAGATTGAACCTTTAGATCTCTGGGCAACTTGGAAGCAAGTGCCTCTGCAAAGTCGGTGATAGTGTGATTGAAGTCTAATTTAAGCCCCAAGGTCCAATTTAAGGCCAGAATTGGACTCAAGTCTGGAATTCAAGTTATATCTTCAGGTCAATGATATGTCTTGGGGTGGAAATATATGTAGACAGTGGCTTCAGCTCGGCCTCAGTTTGTCCTCACAGAAAGGAAGCAAAAGTAGAGTATGTATGAATCTGCAAGAAAGAATAAGAATCCAACCAGCCTACCAACCTCATCATAGAAACATCTTAAGTGCAGCGTATCAAAGAAGCCTAAAAACTCTTAGCAATACTGCAAGGGACAAACACAAACTAGGGGACAGGGGGTACCATAGTTAAAGCATAATGTGAATCCATCCTCTACAACCATGAAACTCAGGTAAAAAAATGAAGAAAAATGATCTCTAACCTAACAAAACCCACAAAAGGTAAACCAAAATGAAGAAACAAAAAAGAACATCAAAATCTCATAATAATAAATATTCTTAAAAGAGAATATTTTATTAAACAACATATAAATATACTGTACTTGTCATCTCCGGGGATGGAAACGCTTAAAAACGTTGTGAACCAAGTCTTGGCAGGAAGTGATATACTGGTAGTCTTCAATAGGCTACATCTTGACTTAGTGTATCAAGTATTTTTAAAATGACAGAAAACTTCTTAGAGCAGGACAGCCAGGCACATGGACTGCAGGCTAAAAACATACTTAAGTAAAAAATGTTGGCATTGAATGAAGGATGAAATTCTTAATTTTTTTTATTAATGGTTGTATTTAATTTCACCTTTTTCCCATTTCATCCATAAACATCACAACCTGTGGTAGGTTGAAAACTTGTTTCAGGCTATGATTTAAATTGAATAGGTGGGGGTTCATGATGTAGACAAAGCACATTCTCTGCGTGAAAGAAGAAGGTACTTAGAACAATCTTTTAAGTTATTTTTAATGTGAGATAGATATGTTGTTAGCTTGGGTTCTGATGTATTTCATTTGTCAAGTCTTTTTCATCACTGGGATGTTTTAAATACTTAGAAGCATAGAATTGTGTGTGTTTTCATTATTTTTTAAAGATAACTGCAAGTTTGTGTTTTGTCACCATGAATGCACTTATGAAGGCAAAGAATAGAACTTTTATAAAATTGGTGTTAGTAGATTTTGCAATTCCCTTGCATGAAGCATTAATGACCTGTTTCATGTGGGTTTTAATTTGTGCTTAAAGTTACTGTGTGTCATGCTTGCCTTTACTGTATGTGCTTTGTATTCTGCAGAAATATGCACCGTACATGCTTTGTATTATATGTTTTCAGGTCATGGTACATTCAGTATGGCTTGATTATGTGTCTATTATTACTATAGTGTAAGTGAGGATTGCTTATTGGAAACAGTTTTAAAATGCCGAGGCCTAGAGTTTGAAAGTAAACTCTGACTTTTATTAAATAATGAAGAGAGAACATAAGTTTCCAATGTAGTCTCAGGAAAATGTAAAATACAACATGAGGCAAAACACAGTAACGTAAACTATAGGAGATTCACTTCTTTGTGGGAAACTACTCCTTTATTTGCAGTAATATAAATATGAAGACCAAAAGCAGCAGTGGAAGTTGTGCCATATTTAGCTTCTCATTCTTGTAGTGCTTTCCCCTCACGTTGAGTAAAATCCTCACTGTAAAAGCCAAATGAATAATTCATTTTCTATACGGGAGGCATTGCTCAATCTGGTAATAAATGAAATAACAAATTCCAGACCTTAAGGGTTTAAAGATGATTGAATGTATAAAGTCATTGGTTTGTAGTGATCAAACCTTAAACGTCTTCTTTTACTTGGTCCATCATCACAGAGCGCTAGCTGCACCGTTGGTGAATTCAATTGTGTTTTTAAAACATTGATTGACAGTGAATAAGTATATCAAAAAAACAATGGAAAAACGTATTGTATAAACTGATTATAATAAAAACCTCTTCATTCCTTGGTGGTTCCAAAATTGATTCCTCCAAAACCTTATTTGCTGTGAAACTCTGTCTATATGCAGTCCTGTTGTATTCGGTTAGCTTGACACGGAAAACCAATCGTTGCCCAATAAGGTTTGCAATAATAGCAGGTACTTCGCCCACCGAACCTTCATTCTGCAATAGTTGTTGTGTACATCTTTAAAATGTTTTGCATATGGCGTATAAAGTATAACACTTAAGTAGTATTTCCAAATCTTAATACCTCCTCCAGTTTCTCTTGCATATCATATATGCTAGGGGCAGATTGTCCTATCATCTTCTCAGCAACATCATCAAACACAATGAACTTCGTACAATCTGTGGCATCCTTGACTCCTAATTCAATTCGAAATCTGCGAATACACACATTTTTTTGTTTATTTGTAAACAAATTGCTTTCATTAATACGCCATATGCATTATTGTGTTTTGAATTTGAAGTGAGACTGTGTGTATTACCTGATTGACAGTGTTAACATGTGCTAATTCTATCATGACATGCGCATAAAACTTACCTTGGAATGGCATCATTCACTGTCTTATTGCACTTCTTGCACCAAAAATTTCGTCCGTACGCCTTAATTATTCCCTTGCAGCCACATGAGTTGTAGTACCATCCATTGTTGTTGTGGATGTCATATATTGTAGCAACACAAAATAGTAGAGTGCCCTGTACATGTGTAAGATTAATATTTTTAAAGTCGGAAACAAAATTAGTGGTTCATGAATGAAAAGAAATGAGACAGATTTAATGTCATCTTATTACATCTTTAAAATCTGTCTTTGTAATTGCTAAAACCTCGCCAATGGTTTTCAATTTGCTTAAAACAGCATTTCGATCCAGCTCTTCTTGTTGCTCAATGATAAGCGGTTGGATTATATGTTCCCTTGCCGAAGAACTGTAACGATTATTCACACTTGGAAAGGTTATGGGATATCATTTCTAATATTTGATGGTTGGAAAATATAAACCCTAACTACCTGCTCTTCTTTTTTAAGGCAATAACCTCATCAATGTCAAGGTCTAAATAAATCTTTGTAGCTGAAGTTGATGACAAAACAGCATTGTCTGCAATGAAGAAAATCAAATCAACTAAACGAACCATGTGCATAGCCGTCATATGTTTTTAGTAAAAAACAAAAAACTCATACTCATGTATCGCTTGACCAAGGTTGACGTGAAAACTCCAACAATGATTCCATTTTCAAGCATTGATTTTTGTCTCATGTAGTTATCAACACTCTCACCCCATAGTGTAACCCGCACTTTTTCAGCTCTGAAATTCAAAATCCAATTTAATAGCTAACCCTTGCAGATTTTTAATTTGGTAAATACATCAATTATTAGCTTTAAAATCACATATTCTTATAATATGAAAACT